GCTTCTAAGACACTACGTACTCTTGATATCCTATTGACGTGGTGGTCACACCACCTCATTCATCATGGCTACTTCCTCCTCCTCTTCCAAAGCTCTTAATATTGGAGCGCCCCAGGGCTCATTCCATGGTTCTCTTTTCTTCTTTCATCTTCATTCTCTCTAAAGGTGATCTCATCCAGTTTCAAAGCTTTCAATAGCACCTAATACTTTGAAGACGCCCACATTTTTATTTCCAATAATGATTTCTCTCAATTCCAAATCTGCATATCCAAATGCCTGCCTGCCATTTCTACTTGGATGTCTGACATGTCAACCCTAACATTCAATACTGCGACCAATACTGCAATCATCTTTTCCATCAAACCTGCTCTACCTGCAATCTTTGCTACCTCAGTTCATGGCTTCTAGTTGTTGGGGCCAAAAACCTTGTCATTACCCTTAATTCTTCCCTTCCTTTCACTTGCCATATCTGATCCAGATAAGGTATCAAAGACAGGCAAAAAAAACCCCCAAACAGACAAAAAAAGGCCGGGCGCAGTGGCTTACGCCTGTAATCCCAGCACTTTAGGAGGCCGAGGCGGGCGGATCATGAGGTCAGGAGATAGAGACCATCCTGGCTAACATGGTGAAACCCCGTCTCTACTAAAAATACAAAAAAAATTAGCTGGGTGTGGTGGCGGGTGCCTGTTGCCCCAGCTGCTCAGGAGGCTGAGGCAGGAGAATGGCGTGAACCTCGGAGGTGGAGCTTGCAGTGAGCCAAGATCGCGCTACTGCACTCCAGCCTGGGCGACAGAGTGAGACTCTGTCTCAAAAATAAATAAATAAATAAAAATAAAAAGGCTGTTGTAAATTCCTGACAATGGAAAATTCCCTACATCCCCTCCTTTCCTCCCCACTAAAGAAAACGTGCATGAGAGATACACATACTACAGTTTGGGAGGGAAAGAGGCAATGGAGCCTTAAGAGAACAATTTAAACTTTCTCCATCACTTTGGACCCCTGATTCAACATTCAGAAATTTATAGTCACATGGTTTTTACTTAGAAGTACTTCTTTCTCTTATGGGACCCCCCAAAAGGCCCTCTCCATCACAACACTTATCTTACCCACACCATCATCACCCATGGGCCATCTCGGTCTCTGACATGTAGTTTTCCATGCTAGATTTTATCACATATTACTTTATATTTTGGCAGATTCCTTGCGGACATCTTTGTCATCTTCTTAGGCCTCCTGTGTGCTGCATGTTGTCCACTGAAGACACCGATTGACCCAACTCCAACAGGTCAAAGCTTCTCCACATGGTAAAAACCTGTTAGCCTACACCAAGTGATTATCTTTATAACCAGGCCCTATAGCTATTTCTAAAGCAAGAATCCAGCATCTTAAGGCTATTTTAATCTGTTACTTACTATTTATTCTGGCAACCTTATTTATCGAATGTCAGGGCTTGAAATTTCAGGGAAGTTGTAGTTTGATACTTACCTATTGATTCTCAAATGTTAAATTTAAAGGTATGTATAAATAATCTGTCATTTGAAATAGTATGGTTCTAGAAATGTTGAAAACAGATTGAATTCAACTCATTTAGTAATCTGGAAGTAAGACTTCTACTGAGACAGTAGAAGTAGTATATTAAGAGCCCAAACTTTGGTATCAGAAAGATACATTTCAAGTCTAATGTGACTCTGGACAAGTGGCTAAGTCAGTTTCCAAGCCTGTAGAATAGGAGAAGGATGTGACTATAAAAAGGAAAACAAAGAGGGGCCTTTGTGATGATGGAACTGTGCTGCATCTTGGCTGTATCAGTGTCAGTATCCTGGCTATAATACTGTATTAGTTTTTCAAGACGTTGTTGGGGGAAAACTGAGTAAAGGGTACACAATATCTTTTCCTTTTCTTTCTTTTTGAGATGGTGTCTCATTATTTTGCCCAGGCTGATCTCAAACCCCTAAGCTCAAGTGTTCCAATGCCTCAGCTTCCTGAATAGCTGGGACTACAGGCGTGTGGGTCAACATTATTCTTACAGAAATAGAAACTGACAGGACATAATTAAAAAACCAAAACTTCATTTTCTAAACCCAGGTAAGTTCTTGGAAATAATTAAAGCTCTTTCCAAATAGGACCCAATACTAAATATTCCCCATTTTGAAAGTTCGGAAAGTTTTAATTCTTACAATTACATGTGAACCTGCAGTCATTTATATATAAAAAAATTATAATTTTTAAATGTTGGTTTAACTTTTGTATTAATTTCAAAACTATCCTAGGCAATCACATATCTTCTCTAATTTCCTATGATGGAGGCAATAAACAGACTCCAAATTACCAAATTTTAAATTTAGCAATGATATAACCAGAAGGTGGCGCTGTTACCACATGAATATACTACAGTAAGGCACCATTAAATGTATCCAAAAATACAGATTTCATCAATCAAAATTGTAAATGCTAGTCTCAATTCAGCAATATTTTCAACGTGTGTCTTACTTGAGGTTTAAAACATACAATTTAATCATTTAAAAAATAGATAACATATACAAATCCTATATAAACTTCTAAACACAGAGACTTGGTATTAAGCTAGTCATATCTTTGCTTTTTGATACAAATATTTCTTGCCTCACCAACTGTTAACAGAACTTTTGATAAAGGTACAAGCACCACTTACAGAAAATTCCTGAACTGCAACTAGAAGTGAAAGAAAAGCTAAGAAAGGGATTTCCTTTTTGTTAAAGCAAAAATGTTTACAACTTTCCCTTATTTTGGGTTTAGGATAAAAACATTAAAAATACTTTTCAAAGGAAAAAAAATAAGTTGTATCAGTTAATAATAATTACTAAGACAGAGATAGCTTTTATCCAATTCCATTTTATATAACATAGAAAGTTAAGTTCTAAAACACAGACACTTGCCTAAAGTCACATACGGCAGAACTAGAGTTGAAGACAGACGCCAGGACGCCAGGTCTAAGACAGCCATTATATTCAGACCAATGAGACACTAGGCAAGAAGAAACTGTCATTACAAAAGGCAATATTTTTGCTTGAACCATGTATTGTTAGCCTAATTCTACTAGTCAAATTAGTTAGATATTTTCAAAAACGGACAAAATCTGTCCAGGAATAAGCTTTAAATAAAACTTACATAACCATAAAACACAGCTACTTACTTGGAGCAGCATCAACAAGACTATAGCAGCAGTGGACAAACACCATGGTAACAATCAGGTGTCCAAGACAAAATGGGAAAGAAAGGAACATTGGAACATCAGTCACTTTCAAGGAAGCGGGCTCCTGGACAAGTATGACTGAAATTGTTACCCAGGCTATCAGCACCTCCCATGGCTGACGTGAACAAGAAAACATGGCTTACACATGCAATGGCACTTTTGGTAAGAAAATAATCTTTTAGAAAAATAGGTCATACTAAAAAATTAAAACCTCATTTGCTAAACCTAGATAAGTTCTTGGAAATAATTAAAAGCTCTTCCTAAATAGAACCAAATACTAAATGCTCCCCTTTTTGAAAGTGCTGAACATGCTGCAATAAAGGGGTACCAAACATAAACATATCCATGGTCTAACGGAACTATAGAAAACCTAACAGGTGAAACGCAGACACAAACCTCAAGGTCCTTGCATTCTAGGGCAAATGTGTTCCATCCATTTGTAGAAGCAGCATATTAGAACACACACAGGAAGTACATACGCTGCTGTTGCATGGCTAGACATTCACAAGTCACTTGACTCAACAGAGATCTGAGGGTCTAAGACGAATAAAGCATTTCACACAACAAATGGCCTTCAGAAAAAGAGACTGAGAAGAAAAAAAAACAAACACTAAGCCAATGTGTTTTGGAGAGGAGGTGCGGAATGCCATAGGTTATTAGGAAGCAACCTGGTATATGTGGCTGGATTACTCTAGCCACACCCTGAGCATAGATCCTAATGATGCTCCCAAGTACAGTGAGAAGCCAACAGTTACAGCTTCGTTGCTAATGTGCCCCATGGGCCAGGCAAATCCTCCTCCTTTCTGGGGTCTCAATCTATCTCAGTTAGCACTGATGGTGGGGGCTTGGCCTAGTTCATCTTTAAGATGTCATTCAGTTTTTCAGGAAAAAGCAACAGATGAAGATGTCTACTTTGATACCTAACCTGCACAATGACAGAAATAGGGTAGTCCAGGAGAGCCCCAACAGGACATAAATAGGTGAGCAGAGATACTGGTTCAAAGTCATTGCTGGCTAAATTTCAGAGGACAAGGTATGAACATGCCAGGGAAAAGGAGCAGGATCTGACAATGGATTGGACACAACAAGCAAAAGAAGGTATCTCGAATTATTGAAGGCAAGTTGCTTTAAGGAAAGAATATTCCAGAATTTCAAAAGTATGATTTAACAAACAGGCATATACTTTTCTCTAATGTTCACACATTCTACATTAATGCCTTGTCCTCACTAGAGAAGTATTTAAGCTTTACCTGTGCACCAAGCACTGCACTAGGCCCTGTATATGGTGTTCACGGCAACAGACGTGTAACATTTATCACCAATAGGCAACATTTGCAAGGAGCAGCCTCTAACGCCTGGCAGTTTTCTGAGTGCATCTCAACTGCCCACGCGGAGATTAAGATGCCCTCTGCTTTCCGCCTTACATCATGCCGTCTAAATAATCACGGAGCACTGTAAGCAGCCCAGATGATTCACACGATGCTCTGAGGCTAACATATGATAATTTTGCTTTTGAAAACATGTTTTTAATTAAGAAAAATAAGCAACTTCTTTTCCCTATCAAAAAAAAATCATTTTTCCTTCTATAATTTCACATGAAGGGATGCCTTAAGAATTCACAGATCTGAAGTTTCTTATTCTTGCAAAGATGACCAAATAATTACTCAGTCCTTAAATATGTAAACTGAAGTCAATTAACCAAACACATCCCTAATCATTGTATTTACTTGTTCACACACGGGCTGAACCAAACAAAATGAGAAATAAGTCAGAATAAACTCTGTGCAGTTTATTCTCAAGTCAGTACAGTGTTCAACCAGTTTGACATATAAAGATAACAGACTTTAACAGTAAATGTTGGGAGGCACACATATATTCCCATTCTGAAAGAAGACATGTTATATATACAGGAAAAAAATGCAGCAAATATTAAGGTATTCAAAGTATTTTTTTTTTTGAACTCAGATGTGACATATTTACAAGAAAAGTGTGTACGTTTGAAAATAATTAAATAGTTTCCATAGACTTATAAAAGAATTGAGATAAATATTAGGAGACCCTGACAATCACAAGAACATTTTCCTATGCTATTGAACAAGGATAGTTCTATTTTTAAATGTCCCAAAATAGAGCTAATATTTTGCCACCATGAAATATATCAAATTGCAAATACCAAAATGTGCTAAAATGAACATGCAATGTGGAAGCTGTACCAAAATTAAACAGCATTAGAAATATTGCAAAGTGTCTATATTTAAGATTTCTCGGGTGTGTTCATGAAAAAGGAACTTTCAAAAAAGCCATTATAATGAATATATCAGCAGAAAAAGTGATAACTTATTAAAATCTCTTTACGCTATCACTTTCAAATGTAGCTGCAAAAGAGAAAAAATCCTAATATAACTTTAAAAAAATATTAGCTTATGAATAAAAAAGTTGAGTGGTGCATTCTTTATGCATACAGATTTTTAAACCGATACTGTATAATTCTAATATATCTTAACCTCTGGACCCCACTGCTGTAGTAGGAAATTTTTTCTCTGTCTCAGACAAGAAGTCATCTAAGAAAATGAAAACGAGAAATTTTCAGTGATATGTATGAATTCAAAACAAAACAGTACTGTAAAATGGCAAAATATAAAAATAGCAGCATGTGAAATTCAAGACTGTTTTCTTAAAGCAAATGTTTAAGACTGAACCTCAAACACGGTACTTATGGGTTGGGTGCGGTGGCTCACGTCTGTAATCCCATCACTTTGGGAGGCTGAGACAGGTGGATCACCTGAGGTCAGGAGTTCGAGACCAGCCTGGCCAACACGGTGAAACCCCATCTCTACTAAAATACAAAAATTAGCCAGGTGTGATGGCATGCACTTGTAATCCTAGCTACTCGGGAAGCTGAGGCAGGAGAATTGTTTGCACCCAGGAGGCGGAGGTTGTAGTGAGCTGAGATCACACCGTTGCACTCCAGACTGGGCAACAGAGCGAGAGTCCGTCTCAAAACAAAAACCAAACGGTACTTACTCAAACTGGTCTATAATTCAACACCAGAAACTAAAGATTCTTTAGAGAGGTGCTTTTATCTATATCCCTATGATTAAATGTATTCTCGAATTTGTTTTTTAAAACAAATATATTGCACAGGTAGTAGAATACCAGCATTCTGGTATCTCTAACATAAAATGCTATCTTATTTAACACATTAAACTATTCTACTGAAAATTAATTTTATCCCAATGTTTAAAACCAGTCACGTAGGACTTTTAAGCACATTAATCTCAAAACATTCCTAAACAAGATGAAAAAACACAGGCACTTGAATATAGGCTATTAGTGACAAAAAGTAGAGGTCACAACAATTTCATGACTAAGGGCAGTTATGTCTTTACATATAAACTTGAGGTCTTTCACCAATCCAAATATAGAAATAAGAACTATTTACAAAACTTTGATAAGAAAATCAGATCTCCCAAAAATTTCCTACCAAATAATTTTTGCTGAATAAAGCACTGACTGCTCCAAGGCCTGATGAAGCTTTTTCAAACAAATGTCTAAGACACAGTTGTTTGAATTCTAGTTTTCTTCTTTTTTCTATGCTGATATAACCCACAACCCTTACTGTTGGTCTAATAATATCCTCTATGCAAAATAAGTCACCTCAAGATTCAGGGCATCAAAAATGGTTATAATTTCAAAATCATCCACATTGTTGTATAAATTTTACAGCACCACAAACATCATGAGTTTAGGTATCTTGGTTTGGCAATATTTCATGTGGTAATATTGACCAATAAGAATGTGTAAATATTGAACCTTTAATAGGAAGTCATTGTAGCATTTTTTAAATGACCAAAGTTATTAATAAGCATTTTTAATGTTTTAAGTTGTTAAACATTTAAACTGTCAAAATCACTAGGAAAAAAATATTACACATACATTGTGACCACCCGAATGAGAACACGCAATGCTTCAGACAGATAGTACTGAGATATTTTGGATTTTTCCTTTTTCTTTCTTTTTTAAAGAAATTATATTTAGTTTGGCCACTCCCTAGATTCTTGGTTTACCAGCTTATAAAGAGTACACCTAAGAGGCAGTATAATATACGCACTAAAAACCGTTTTCCCCTTTACCATCTTTGGCTAGAAGCCTCATGAAAGGAAACTGAGGACAGCAGAGGCAGGCAGGCTCCGTGCACTTCTGCCTCACACGTCACTGACCGGAAGGCTCGCGTCATCCAAGTCTACCAGGTCACAATCTTTTTCCTGAGGGCCATTTTTACTTTGAGGTTTTAACAGAGCTTGTTCAGTCACTTTGGAAGCTGGTTCTCTTGGAGAGACAGTCTGGACCTTGAAGTTCCCTGGCTTGACCTTGGCAAGAGATTCATAAAATCCTCGCTTCTCCATGGTAAAGGCTGAGACCAAAGAGTTGCTGCGAGAGGCTGTGGAATGTGAGGTGGTGGCGGCTGCGTTGGCAGGACGGAAAGCGTGTTTGGATTCTGAAGGACCGGGGGGATGCTCCTGCAAAAAGGAGTGGCAGTCAGACACAGTCAATCACTAATGACCAGGTTAGTAACTCAGCGTGAGACCTGATTCTCTGAAAAACAAACAGAACACACACACACACACATACACACAAGGCAGCAGCAGAAGCCATGCAGCATAAATGTGCAAGTTCTTTCCCAAAGCAATGCATTTTTAGAGGTGAGTTTAAAGCAATGATAGCCAAAAACCATTTCCACTAGGAAACCAGTTCCGTCACCAAAGCCAAATTTGGCAGCCTATGACACTTTGAAGATTCAGCCAACCTAAACTGAAATATAGTGTTCCAGCTGCAACTGAACTGTGTTTAAAAGAGAACCTCCCGGCTGTATCATTTTATTTAAGAGTATATTCTCAGTCAACACTAGGAAATATCCCACATATTTTAGAATGAAAAAAAAATGAAAATACAGCCTATAACAATGAAAGGCCATATTTCTTTAATAAGGACGAATCAACATCTTTCAAACATTATTTTGCCAATAAGACTTAAGTTTTTACTTCCCTGAATTTCACTGCAACCAATAATAACACAGTCTTTTCATTTTATACTTAATTTTAGTTCTGAATAGGTCACATATTCATATGGCTTAATATTTTAAAGGTAACAAAGGGTACACATTTATCATATTTTAAACTGTGGTGAAATAATTATCATTTGTGAATGTTAATTTCAATATGCTTCTAACTAGATCAAATCTGAAGATATCCTTAAATATGACCATTCTAAATACATTGCTATGTACTAGTATATTATATTCATTTATGATACCAGTGCCTTTGAAATCAAAGTGCTACAAATTACCAAAACACTACAGAGTCCTATTAATGGCTAAATTTCAGAAATTTTTAAATGCCATGCAAACTATAGTAATGTATAGTTTATCCAATGCATATGCATGCATTAGTTTGCATATATTATTAGAACAATGGTGCATTTCATAGTATATCTTAAAATTTTTAAAATACATAAAATATAGAAATTGAAACTCTTGCAGCAGTTGAGTATATTAATTTTTATATGTTAATGTCTCTTTCTGTTAGTAAAGTTGTATGTTTTGTTTTTATTTTTAAATACACATATCCAACCTGATGACTACAGTGAAACAGTTTGCGTTAGTATTGACAAAATCAGTTATGATAACTGCAAAAGGCAGTTTGGTTAACTCAACTTTCTATGATCAGTTGTAAGTAGTGAGTAAGTCTGGGCCCTCCACTAAGAAGGCACGTTTGCGTGAGAGCCCACATACGTGCTGCATTCACCAGCTCTTGATGTATACCTCTGTATACAAGGGTTCGACAGCCTTCTGGCCTGCCGCATCTGGAACACAGTGCAAAGCTAAGATTAGAGTTAACCTATACTGGGTAGAGGGAGGAAAAGAGAAAGTTCTGCTGACAGTCATAGCTAGATAGTCCAATTTGCCCCCACCACAAAGCACAAAACACAAACATCCTTCTCCAACTTTTCCTCTTCCCAACAGACATTGTTTTTGCAGAGCGTCTCATACTTGACTGCTGAAAAAGTCACATAAAATACAGGCAGTTACAAAATGAACATCTATGAAAGTGACTTCTTAGATATTTCAAAAAGGATATAAAGAGAATGACAATTAAGAAATCAGAAACATTGATTTCTATTATCTGTAGTTATCACTACCAGAAAATAAAAGGCAGTATTATTATACTATCAGAAAAAAATATTAAAAGTGTAAGTATTTAGCATATATATCATAGTAAATCTAGATAATAAAGGCTATCATGCTACATATGAGACTACTTTCTGCAGATGGCAGTGTTACATTTTAAGATACTTTAAATTTTCAGATCTGAGATCAGTGGCCAAAGTATTCCAAAGGCAAATCTAATTCTTATGTACTTGAATACAAGAAAAATCTTTTAAAAAATATTTCTGAGCAGAATGTTTAGTTGCATTTCAATTTTATTACCATACTACCACAAAGATAATTATGGTAGTTTTCAGAAGCAGGCTTTTAAAGCAGGTTTCAAGATGAGAATTAAAACATGAAATGGAAACACTGGGAGCACTGAACTGCATTTAAGGCCCCAGCTGCTCAGTGATCGTATGGCATGGTTAAGCCAAAGGTAAAAAACAAAACAAAACAAAAAAACCTGAACTGAAATCAGAGGAAGTAAAGAGGAAATTGAGATGTTCACAAAACTGTATAACTAAAAGTCTTACATGATCAGGCCACACATTATACTAAGAATCTGTCAAATTATGCCAAATCTAGAGCTACTGACAAGTAAGAACTCCTAAAACAAAGCAAGGAAATGTTTATTCTTTAGTTGCCCTGCTTGTGCATTTAACACAATACAATGCACAGAAAGTTATGTATACGTAACACTACAACGAAGCATTAAATTAAAAATGCATTATTTTTTGCAAGTTCAATCGGTATAAAAGTCAACATGCAAATAAATCTCAATAAAGAAAGAAACCAGGTGGATTGGGAGAGAGGAAGGAAAACAATTTAACAGGATGGGGGGCACCCAAGGGAGTATCACCCCAGAGGGCAGGAAACCTACAGAAGATGTGGATCTGCCGGGCCCCCGCTGGGCTACAATGGCGCCAGAGACTGCTTTAATCCAACTGTGCATCTCTTCAGGGCTATCAGCCTAAAGGAAAAAAGAACTCATTCAAACAATTTTTCCTCAAAATCACCTTCCACTTCTATAAAGCCAATGTATTTATTTTGGTAACTTAAATACTGTCATCAATAAAATCACTCTAAGGCAACTGTTTCCAAAAAAATTTAGAAATCATTTTTTAAAACCAGGTTTTGCTAGGTCTTAACTATGCAGAGACATAAATTGAGCATTTCAATGTCAAGATCAGACCCATCAAAAGGCGTCAATAATGAATACCTCCAGAGAGAAAACAAGGAGAGGAGGAAGGCAAAGAAAAACCCTTCTTATTTCACTCTATCTACTGCTACACTGTCTGAATCCGCTACAAGAATATTTATGTAGTTGTGTAATTTTTAAAAATTCTGACATTCTTTTACATATTATTTTTCTGGAAATAATTTCTAGTAGTACCCTAAAGCCTACAACAACTATTGACAGATAGGTCTGGCTTTCAATGTGAATTTTAAACCTTACTATGTAAATAAGGCCCCAAGCGGGCTGCAGATATACTGCCTCTTGTTTCTAGATTCTAGAATCCCTTACACTTCTCGAATCTAGAAATATGAAAAAATTTAAAATGCAGGACATTTTTGAATAAGTAATATTAACAAAGACTTTAAAAAAAAAAAAAAAACTAAAAGTAGCCAAAGGTAGAGTATACTTCATTCCTTACTAATGGAAATACAATTCTAGAAATCAATTTGACAAAACAGAAAGGGTCATGCTCTGATAGTTAATCTCAATCTAGAAACTTACCCTAAATAATTCAGGCAAAGTAATGCACAAAGACGTTTTTCATCACATCGTTTATTGCAATAAATGTACAAAAACTATGCATATGAATGTTCAGCAACAGAGTAATACAGAAACAATTTACTAGTGGAACATCAATACAGTGGAGTATGGTGCAGTTCTAAAAGGTTTTCAGATAATTTTTAATGACATGGGAAAAAAATAACAACATAAGAAACAAATGGGATATAACGTTATATTTAGTATGACCCCACCTACTATAAAAATATATACCTTAAAAAAGGGAGCAAAATCATAAGAATGGTTGCCTCAATGTGGGACTGAGTGTTTTATAAACCACATTTTTCTGAAATCTTTCTATATTTTCCAAGTTTTCTGGAATAAGCATATTTAACTTCAATAAAACAAAAACAAATCATCCTTTGATTTTTTTTTTTTTTTTTTTTTTTGAGACAGGGTCTCTGTCACCTAGGCTGGAGTGCAGTAACACGATCTCAGCTCACTGCAACCTCCACCTCCTGGGTTCAAGCGATTCTTGTGTCTCAGCCTCCCAATTAGCTAGGATTACAAGCCTGCACCACCACAGCTGGCTAATGTTTGTATTTTTAGTAGAGATGGGGTTTTGCCATGTTGCCCAGGCTGGTCTCGAACTCCTGGACTCAAGCAATGTGCCTGCCTTGGACTCCCAAAGTGCTGGGACTACAGGTGTGAGCCACCATACCCGGCCCAAATCGTTTTTTAAAATTTTCCATTTAAATAATTCAATGAGGTATGCAAAAAGTACAATTTAAATACAGGATGCCTAGTATTAGCGAAACTATATAGATCTACTGTCTACTTTTACTATGGGTTTTTTTAATAAGGTTACCAAAAAATGATATAATAGAAAAATCAAAATTCTAAAATATGTGCAAAAATAATTCAACTTGAAAGTACACATTTAACATCTAAATTAAAAGCATTTCCCTTTCTCTAAATACTTAGTTCTAGTTCACTAATTCATAACAAATACTCCTACTTCCTGAACATATAACCCCACCAATAACTCTATATATAGCATCCTTTTATTAAGCTGGTAAATTACAGTTGTCATATTTTTTTAACCTCAAGTGCTTATTTATGCTTATTTCACCTCTAAAATTATTAATTTCTTGTCAAGAGGATCTATTAATTGCCAAATAAGTATCTTACCTGGACATAGAAAGTTCGAGATGTTGTTACAATTTCAAAGAGGTTGTCCCTCATCATTATGTCACTGTATGAAAAAAAAATCCAATTATAGTAAAATAGCAGTTGTTTGACAGTCTCTCTTTCATTTGTTTACCCAGTACCCAGTATGTGTCAATAAATAAAGGAGGTAAAGTACTGATTTGACAAATCCAAATTATCTTTTCCCATTTATTTTCATGTAAGATTTCACATATTTTATGTAGTTTTACTTTTAGAAAAAGTTCATAAAGCAACTTTAAAGTTCAGAGTTTTCAGTAATCAGTTTGGTGAAACACTGTCACAGTTAACACATTTTCTTGTAAAGCTCTATTCTACTGCATCTTTTAAACACTAAAATTAATACATCAATTTGTCAAATCTGACGGTCTAACCATAAGTTGTTCACTTAATTTATTCCTTTCCATTAATAAGCTGTTTCAGTATTTTTAGTTTTCAAAGAAACAAATAAAGGATTCTTTCCTAATTTTTAGTTTTCAAATGAACAGAACAGTTCAATACTTCAATCTAAGGGTTTTGAAAATTCCAGCATATCTCAACTATAAAGAGTTAAAAATAACTACAATTAATATGGAAAAATGTAATCTGTAAGTACATTACTCAAACTAAGGCACTACTCTGTGTTTATAAGTTGTACCAGGCATCAAGTCAGAGTGGTTCCTTACCTTTGCTTACATTCCTGGACTTTATGAACCTCTTTAAGTGGTATTACGCGAAGAGGTTCCTTTTCCTGGCCAAAAACAAAAAACAAAAAAAACAAAAAACAGATACATGATGTTTATTCTTAAAATCCTTTCAAATGTTAGCTGTCTTATTTGGAGACCCATGTGAAAATCATACTTCTTTGCTGAAACACATCTCAGAAATAAATCTACCTTCTTAAACCATCCAGCATCTGAACAGCTCAAACATTATAACCTTATATACACTGTTGTTTGAAAGAAGAAAAACTGCATACGGGCCTTATTCACGTTATTTCTGACCTTAAGGGCAGTGTAGCTTATTAAAAGCTAGTAGCCATCAGACTTTCCCCGATGGACCCACATACCAGTACGCGCAGCACCTCCTTTTCCGGAATGTCACTTTGATATACAAGGCAGCAGAGCAAATGCACATCCTGCTTCTTTGACTTAAATTTGTTATTTTACAAATATCACTTGTATATAAATACAAAATTGAACATTTACTAAGCGCTGAGACATCTGCTAGGTTTTAATTTTTATCTCACACTTTCCACAACCTTACAACACATGTACTACTATTCATGTGCTGAAACTGCGGATTAGATATGTTAAGTATCTCACCCAAGGTTACAAAGTAGATATAAGATACAAATATAAAATAAAACTGGTTCCTAATAGCGTATTTCTAGTATACATTCCATAAAATACAATATACATATTTCATTGAATATGACAGCATGAAATTAAGACATATCATTACTTTATGTAGCACCAAAAATAAAACTAAACCATGACAGAGCGCTTTTTATTTTTTTATTTATTTATTTTTTTTTTTTGAGACAGAGTTTTGCTCTTGTTGCCCAGGCTGGAGTGCAATGGCGTGATCTCGGCTCACTGCAACCTCTGCCTCCTGGGTTCAAGGGGATTCTCCTGCCTCAGCCTCCCAAGTAGCTGAAATTACAGGCGCCCGCCACCACGCCCAGCTAATTTTTGCATTTTTATTAGAGACGGGGTTTTACCATGTTGGCCAGACTGGTCTCAAACTCCTGACCCCTGGTGATCCGCCCACCTCAGCCTCCCAAAGTGCTGAGATTACAGGCGTGAGCCACTGCGCCCAGCCAGGAGTGCTTTTTTTTAAAAAAAAAATCACAGATCTTTTAAAAAACGTTTTACAAAATAGTTTAATTATGAAATAATTTATCACTTAATGAGATTTAGAAAAATAGTACAAAGAATTTCTGTATAACCTACACCTTGTTTTCTAAGCTGTTAATATTTTACATCTGCTTTATCATTATCTGTTTATGTTTATATATGTGTGTGAGAGAGTATATGTGTATATATATAGATTCCTGAAACGCTTAAAGGTAAGTTGTAAATATGATGTATCTTTACTAAATACTTCAGCGTGTATTTCCTAAAACATGGATGTGCCCTTGCATAACCACAGTGCAATTATGAAAACTGGAAACTCAATACTGATGCAACACTATAATCTACAGACCATCTTCAGATTTCATTAACTGCCTTACTCGTATTCTTTACAGCACAAAAACTATTTTCTGATCCAGAGTTAAATCCAGCATCATACCATGTATGTAGCTGTCATGTCGCCTTTAACTGTGGAATAGTTCTTCATTCGTTTTTCAGAGTTTAAAAAAGTCCAGGCCAGTTATTTTTGTAGAACACTTGCCAGTTTGAGTTTGTCTGACATTCGTGCTGAGATTCAGGTTAATACATTTTTGACAGGAAGCCACACGCATGACACTGTTCTTCTCAGTGGACCACTATTAGGACGTACACACCCGATGGTGGCTTGTCCTGTCACTGGGGTGTTAACCCTGATCTCTTGCTTAAGGCCATGTTTGCCAGTAACTGTAAAATTACTTTTTCTCTTTGTCATTGTTAAGTATCTTGTGGGGAGATACTTGGAGCCTATAATAATACCAGGTTTCCCATGATAATTTTGCAACTAGTTTTATCAAACACTGAAAACTCTTGCTTGAAACCATTACTAGTGGCTGCCAAATGGTGATTTTTCTAACCCCATCAATCTATCTACATATATTAAATAGAATTTTACTCTAAGGAAATATTTTCCTTCTCCATTCAGTTATTCACGACTTATTTTATTCTATGGGTTATATTCCATTACTATAATTACTTATCTTGTTTTTAAATTTTCTGCATTTTGGTCAGTCCCTTCAAGGTAATTTCTGTGTCCTTTTGACATGTTCCATTCATTCTCTAAGCCACTTCCTTATTCTCTGGCACAACTTCACTTTCTGAGCTGTGTGTACTTTATACGCCCCAACTCTGAAATCAGTCACATCGCCGAGGGTTCCTGATTCCTTTTGTTTACAGAATGGCATTTACACTTGCTTTTGGGAAGGGTAGGTGGGGATTTGCCAATCTCTTCACTCAGCCACAACCTTCTCATGACAGACGAGAATATTTCATTGCAGTTTTAATTTGCATTTCTCTAATTATCAGTGATGCTGAATTTTTTAAATATTTTAAGATCTATTTAAATTTTTAAATGAATTATCTATTCATGTCTTTTGTTCATTTGCCTACCAGATATTTTCCCCTCCATTTTCTCTCTTTTTTTAATCTTTGAAACAAACATTAATTTATACAAGGATTGAAAATACAGCACAAAGAACTAATTTTCCTAAACCATTTCAGAGTGAGTTGCTGACCTGTCCCACATGACCCCTGAATACTTTTCCTACAAAGACATTCTCTTACATAATCACAATACAATCATCAGAATCAGAAAACTGTGCCCAAAATGTCTTTTATTAGAGCAAAAGGATTCAGTTCAGAAGCACGAACACCATCTGCTTGTCAAATATTTTCTTTCCCTCAGTCTGGAACAGTTCCTCATTATTTCCTTGACTTTCATAATCTTCACTCTATGAAGACTGCAAGGTAGTTATTTTGTAGAATTTCCCTCATTTGGGTGTGCCTCATGATGGGATTCTGATTACATACCTTGGGCAGGGGTATCACAGAAGTGATGCTGTCTTCGTCTTCCGCTGTCCTGTCAGGTGGTTTCAATTTATCTCATTACCAATGACATTCACTTTAATCATCTGACCAACCTGAGTAAAGTGGTATCTGCCAGGTTTCCTCATTGTAATGCTATTCTTTCCCCCCTTGTACAATACTTAATACCTCTTTTAGTAGATAGGTACTTTGAAACTATGTAAATATCTTATTCCTCATCATACATATAGATATACATCCATTCATCAAAAAGTATTGTTTCTCTGAACAAGATTCGGCTTCTATTATCCTTAACATAGTTCTTGATTTTATCAGCATGTATGTGACCATTCTCCCATCTCTACCACCACCCCTTCCCCATGTGGATGCCCTTCTCTCCCTACTCCACGTGGGGCTAACCCCCCAAGAGGACAGCCTCCTTGTCCTGCATAGGCTCTGACACCCACACAAGGCTGCAATGGTCCCGCTTGGATGCCTATGTTGCTTTGCCTCACCTAATAAACAGGGGTCTGAATTGTTTGGGATTGATGGAAGGAAAAGAGGGCAAAGTAGGTGAGGAAAAATCCCCTCAGTTTTTAAGATTCCTTATAAGTTTTATCTCTAATATATGTTGCAAATATTTTCACCAGTTTTTCAGCTGTGCATTTAAGTCTTTTATACTTATTTTTAAATTTTTTAAATGATCTTTTAGAGATACACACTGAGACATTTACGGATGAAATGGAATATCTAGGATTTGCCTCAAAATATGAAGCAGGAGGTGGGTGGTGAAACAGAAGAAACAAGACGAGCTGAGCCATATGTTAACAATTATGACATCTAGGTGATGGGTATATGCAGGTTCCATGTATTATTTCTGTCTACTGAAAGTGTATGTTTACACTTTTCCATGATGAAAAGGTTTTATAAAAGAGCCCATTTACACTTTAAACATTTTTATCACGTATTATTCTTGAGCATATATAAAAAAGAAAAATATAAACAAGATAAACTGGTTACAGTTTTTAAGATTTCACATTCAGATTCCAGATCTTCTGAATCACTTTTTGACTTAGAGCCACCAATGTCCATGTTTTTCACTCCAAGTCATTCTTTGTGCCAAAAAGAGTGTTGGTGATGCAGCATTTAAGAATGCTTCATGGTGTCCCTGAGATTTCCTCCCAAGCTGCCAGCACCCTTTCCTGCACATGCTGATGCCGGTGTCTTCTGGATTTTACCAAAAGGTACTGTGCATATGGCAAGCAGTCAACTACAGCACAGCTGCAGCCTGGCTGCCCCTCACCCTTAGCAACTCTAAGACATACCGTTAAGATTTCAGAAATGTTAAAACTGGGGGACAGGGAGCTGAGACAAGAACTATTACAGAAATACTAAGTTTTGAAAACCTGTATGCTGGGCATTATTCTGTGAAATTTGAGAGGAAGAACAAAGAACTACCAGAGGAGATAAACTATACCCTGTAAAATTAGGAAAACTTAAGTATAGTTATAATTACTGACCTTTAAAGGTTTTCGGCTTTATCTGCAATTTCTAAATACTAAAAATAATCCAAATTATTAAAACTACTGTTGATGATGGGGGCACATGTCAATTTCCCCATCAAAACTGAACTCCTGAAGGCCAGAGAACTTTGCTAATTATTCTCTTTTATTTCCAGTTCCCAGAAGAGTGCACCAAGTTCATGGAGAGCTCAATGAATGTCTGTTGCATGAATGACTCTTCCCAGGAGTATTGACATTAAATAAAATCAATGAGACAACCTGCTAACCAAGCACAAGTGTAGCCTCTGAGACAACAAGGCAGGTACTTTCTGAACCAAGTAACTACTACTTCCAGTTGAGGCTCTTAAGCTTTGAGAAAGCCCCATGCTAAAATGACTCTTCTGGCTATGCTATGCCATTTTTCATTCATTCAAAGACACTTATTATCTACCAAGTGCCAGACCCTGTGATCATAAAAGACTACAAGAGTCTTTACCCTTAAGAAGCTCATTTAATTTAGTTGCAAAGACAAGAATGCACGTGACTGCCAAACCCTGGGAAGAACATTATGATACAAGTATGCACAGGGTACCACAGGGCACATAAGGAGAAGACACTTAACCCAGAGTCTAAAAGCTTCCCAGAAGAGCTGACTCCTGAGGTGAATCTTAAAATATTCCCTTCCTATACACTAGTGCTCTGCTAGCAAATACAGTGGCCATTGTGTGTAATGATGTAAATTTAAATTAATTAAAATGAAATAAAGTCAGTTCCTCAGCCACACTAGCCACATTTCCAGCACTCAACAGCTACATGTAGCTAGTGCCCTTGGACAATACAGATACGGCACATTTCCATTTGTGCAGAAAGTTCTAATGGACAATGCTGTTCTGGTGACTTCATTCAAATAAAGCATAAGGTTCCCTTCTCAAAGGTCCCACACAAAAAGAAGAGTTAGGATAAACATTTATACTACAGAATTGCATTCAATTTATCCAAAAAGCTATTTCAGGACTCAGGTCACCCTACAATACTTTAAATAAGGATGCAACTCAAACAAGGCAAATAGGGAATTTCAATTTCTGATTCTACCTTCAGGGAGGATAAAAACATCTTATGTGAAGTGATTTATGAGTCAATGTGAAATAGGTAAAGAAAATCTCAAGAGAAGGTAGAGATACAGAGGGTTAAATGTTGACTTTTACAGATAGAATTCTTTACACCACTTTTGGCACTGTAATGTTACTCTTTTTCAGCCTTTGTATAATACTTAATACCTATTTTAGTAGACAGGTACTTTGAAACTATGCAAATATCTAATTCCTCATCATACATACAAATATACATTCATTCACCAGAAAGTATTATTTCTCTGACAAGACTTGGCTTCTATTATCCTTAATATAGTTCCTGATTTTATCAATCAGTGTGTATGTGACCATTCTCCCATCTCTGCCACCACCCCTTCCCCATGTGGATGTCCTTCTCTCCCTACTCCGCGTGGGGCTAACCCCCCAAGAGGACAGCCCCTTTAGTGGAAATTTATAGACTACAGGATTCTGAGATCTTCAGATCTTTCAAGGTAGAATGCCGCTTTGAAGATAGGATCTTTTTACTTAACAATGTATTTAAGAAAAATATCATTAACCAAAAGCATCACAGCCAAATAAACTGTATGTACCTCTAAAAACTAGACTTATTCTAAAACTAGAGAACAGTACAAGAAATTACATATAATCACTACAATGCAACACTTTTCAAACATTCTTACAGCAACATTTATGACATAACAACATACCAGTTCAGATTTGAAGTAGCCTATTGTGTTTTCATCCAACTGAAAATATCTTCTCTTCCAGTTTTTCATCTACCGGAGATGAACACAGACATAAGACTTGTGTTTCTAAGAATGTCCAATGTTAGTCACCACTTAATTACCCTGATATGAATCCACAATCAGACATGCCAAGCACTAAAAAATCTCATTACTTCCCTTAGAGATGCGATAAATTAAACCTCATCCCTCTCTAGCTACCCAGGCTTTGAATTCCTAATTCAATTTTTGGTGCCTGGCTTTCATCTTTTATTGTATGATTTTATGTGGGTTCTTTTTTTTTTTTTTTTTTTTTTTGAGACAGAGTCTTGCTCTGTCGCCCAGGCTGGAGTGCAATGGCGCGATCTCGGCTCACTACAACCTCTGCCTTCCGGGTTCAAGCAATTCTCCTGCGTCAGCCTCCCAAGTAGCTGGGATTACAGGCGCCTGCCACTATTCCCAGCTAATTTTTGTATTTTTAGTAGAGACAGTGTTTCACCATGTGAGTCAGGCTAGTCTCAAACTCCCGACCTCAGATGATCCACCCACCTCGGCCTCCTAAAATGCTGGGATTACACGCCTGAGCCACCGTGCCCAGCCTATTTCATATCTTTAGTGTTACAACTTTTTTTTTTTTTAAAAGCACCTCCCCTTCCTCCTACTCCCCACCCCGCCCCCGCCCGCCCCATGTAAAGAGCAAACACAGGAAATGTTATTAAACCACATCAAGTTTCTCCATCTGCAAAAATGCATGAATTCTTCCACAAGTACTTTACACGTAGTAGTAAAGCACTAAATATTTAATAAAGTAAACCTATTTTGTACACACATTTTTTGTCAATAAAATATAGTTCTTGCAAAAGTACTTAAGTATCTCTGACTGGTATTTTGGACTTAAGAGTAAAACAAAAAGGAACCATCAGGCTATGATGTTCAGTTGTGTGTAAATTAGGGCTTTCAATCTACACACAACAGAGCATCACAGCCTGATGAGAATTCTGACTCTACCCGCAGACATTCTACAGTAAGAAAACCCTGCCCTCACCGGCATTTTTGTCCTCAGCCTAAAGCAGGTCAAACAGGTGAAAGGACATTCCCCTGGCTGCCCTAAAACAATTAAGAGTTGCCAAAAAGTGATGAGAAATCAAACAGAACCACCAAAATAATTTTTAAGTATTTCTTTACTCAGACTTAAACATTTCCAAACTTCACAGTTAATTTTCTCATGAAATTCTAAAGATTTAGTTCACACAGAAAGAATGGCTTAAATACTAAGGTATGTTGCAACCTTAGAAATACTGGTAAATTTACTTGCTCTTGCAAAAAATTCATCATGGAACTATGTGGGAATACCTGGGCTAACCCATAACAGCTTTTACTAAGTACCAGGTGCTGTGCAAAGGGAAACACACCTTTTTTATTTACATCTCTTAAAAAAACAAAAACAAAACAAAACCCTAGATGGTAGGTTTTATATGATATTCCTTAAGATAGAAACTGAGGGCCTGAGAGGTTAAGTAAGTAGCCCAAGGTCAGAGAGCTTACCACTGAGGTCAGCCCAATGCCTTATCAAGGAAGAGACCCTCCTATGCCCCACTCTTTCTCCTGCCCCTGGCCTGCCATCTCCCCACTAAAGCTCTCGATCCCTGACCCACTCCTGAGGATGAGTAGAGATCAATAGAAAAACTTTCTCTTTCCCTGACCCACTCCCGAGGATGAGTGAAGATCAATAGAAAAACTTTCTAAAACATTAAACTGTTAGGAAAGCTCATTTAAACTGAAAGTGGGTGGTAATGGGCATTAACTTTCCCGGCCCCCTGCAAACCAAGCAAATAACAGCATTGAATTATAAACATAGAATATTCCCTATTTTATCTCCTGACTCTCCTCAGCATGCTGGTCTCTCACTTTGGGTCTTTCATAAAATAAAGCAATTTCCACGTTAATTTGAGTTTGCTAGAACATAATCCTTTTTCATTATTTCATGTATTTTGTTAAGCTACTCACCACTGCTCCTTGTTTTACACAATATCCAGCTTTGATAACTGCACTATCTTGAGGTGGTTTAGGAGTAAAGTAAGGAAGATGGCTTTGTGACCGTTTCAGATTATTTCTGTCAATTCTTTCACCACATTCATTTACTTCTTCTTTCTAAAATGAAGCACAATAAATAATTTTCTTGCTTGTTTAGCATACTTTTATTTTATGCTATCCCAGTAGAAAAATCTTAAAATCCACCTTAGATTAGTTAGAAACAGATTTTTGAAGGGTTTTCTAATTAATCTGATATACTTCTCATAATTTTCCTGTCACTGATTAAAGCACAAATTTCTGTTCCTCTTGTTCTGCACAAGTCCTGCCACCAGTGCTCTTTTTTGGGGAAGGAGTTAACTTTTTATTTTGAAATAATTACACAGATTCACCAGAAGCCGCCCAAAAAAAGTACAACAGGTCCTATGTACCCTTTCACTAGTTTCCCCTCAAAGGGAAACTGTGTAACATTATCAAAAACAAGAAAATGACATCGGCACAACCCACACACTATATTCGGATTCCACTAGCTTTACACACATTCATTTGTCTATGTGTGTCTATACAGTTCTATGCAGTTTTATCACACGTGTAGATCTGTGTAATTACCACCACATTTAAGACCCAGAATTGGTCATCACCCCAAGGCTCCCTTGTAAACTTTAGAGCTCCTACCCCTAAATCACTTGGCAACCACTAATCTGTTCTCCAAGACTATAATTTTGACATTTTGAAAATATAATGTAAATGGAAACAAACAGGTTATCTTTTGAGATTACCGATTATCTTTTTTCACTCAGCATAATTCTCTAGAGATTCGTCCAGGCTGTTCCTTATATCTAGAGTTCATTCCTTTTTATTGCTGTATTTCCATGGTATGGATGGATGACCAGTTGTTTAACTGTTCACCCATTAAAGGACATTTGAGTTGTTTCCCGCTTTTAGCTATTAGGAAAAAACTGCTATCAACATTCACGCACAAGTTTCTATGTGAACATAATTTTCCCTTTCTGTACGATAAACACCTATGCCTGCAAATGCTGGGTTGTATAGTAATCACAAGCTTACTTTTATTAAAAACAACCACCAAAAAACAAAAAAAAACAAAAAAAACACCCAACTGTTTTTCAGAGTGGCTATATGAATTTTCATTCCCACCAGCAACACCTGAGAGATGTTTCTCCTCATCCTTGGCAGCATTTGTGTTGTCACTTTTATTTTAGCCATTCTGATAGTGTGCAGTCATCTCTCATTGTGCTCTTACTTTGTATTTTTTCCCTACTAGCTAGTGATGGTGAACATCTTTTCATGTGCTTACTTACCATCTGTGTATCTTTTATCTTTTGATGAAATATCTGTTCATGAATTTTCTAACTGGATTTCTTGGGTTTTTTACTGTTGGGTTCTGAGTTCTTTTTATGTTCTAGATAAAAGTCCTTTGTTGGACATGTGGTTTGCAAATTTTTCTCCTGGTTTGTAGCTTTTCATCCTCTTAAGAAGGGCTTTCATAGAGCAAGTATTTTTTATTTTGATGAGATCCAATTTACCAATTTTTGCCTTTTACAATAGATACATATTATTTTATAATTTTTAAAACTATACTACAAAATAAATGATGCAATAAACTTCTTTGAGAGTTTTAAAATTACACGCCCCCCATTAAATCCTAGAAACGACTGAAATATCTATACCAAAATTACAATGCAACAAAATCTTAACTCTAGACAAAATTAAAACAGCCGCAGATACTAACTAATACAATATCTTAACACAACTACAGGAAAATAGTCTTACCCCTTATGTCAACATAGGTCATAATACCAGTGAAAGCAGCTTAATCTAGCTACATAGTAACCAGAAGGTTAATAGTTTAAAATCATTACTTTTGGAAAAAGTAAACACAAAATTCTAGTTCATTTTTTAATCCAACTTTAGTGAAAAATGTAGGCTCTATGACAGCATAGAGCTGTCATATTTTGTTCATTTTGTTCATTTTGTCAATTTTCTTCATTAACATACCCTTTGCCAAGCATAAAGCACTCAATAGTTAATTAATTAATGTTGTAAGATTTCTAATCCCACTAATCACCCTCCCATAGCAAAAGACCTGAAAAATGTGGGGTATAATACAATTTGACTTAAAAGATTTATAAAGTGTCAAAGTCTTATTTTAAGTTCAAAAGGCACACTGGTAATGAAAATACCCAAGCTTGGCAATACCAATTGATTACTTTAAAATTATTGCTTTCTCAACTACCAGTAACTTAGTAGCCATTACAAATTCATCCTTTTCAACAGCAAAACAAGAAATTCAAGCTCAGACAAGAGTTTTAATTTCATCAAAAATTGTTCATCAGGCCGGGCGCAGCATTTGCAAAATATTTAGCAAACAATGTCCCATGTCGTATATGAGGACGCTGAGCTACAGTAAATCCCAATCCACACAAATGTAATTTAATGGATATATAAATGACTTGTCTCTTAGATGACTTCTAAAATCCCTCTCCTTCCTTCCCCACCTGCCGCCCTTCGAAGTGTTTCTCTCAGGCCTTAAGCCAAACCCTCCAGCTCTGGTTCATATTAACTACAATGCCTCATCCGCAAGAAACAAAGAGAGAGAAAAACAGGAAAGAGAAGAGAATCCTGAATAACCTCTTGAATGCTTCTAAGAATGTGCACATTTTGGAGTGCTTTTTTAAAGGCAATAAAATAATGAAGATAACTTTCCTTTGTCAAATAAAATTAGATAGTATACACTGGAACGATTGCTAAGGGAACGCCCATTATATTTTCCTAATAAATAGCATCATATATTCAATTAATTCTGAACAGAAGAAAATATGCCCTGGTTATCTCACTAAAGAACAGAAAACAGCACTTAAGAGAACTTGAAGCCAGAGAGAAAACATCTATTCAACTAGAATTAAGATGAGAGGTGCTGCTAAGAGGTGACCCATAAGAAAAACCAGCCGTTATTCTCTCAAGAAGTTTTACTCAGACATCGAATTATTAAGAAAAACCTTTAAAATCATTTTAAAATACTGAAATTTATATTGGTTTTTCCCATTTTTTTCTTAAATTACAGTATATTAAAAGTCCTTTGCTTCATGCCTGTTAAGCTTCACTTGCTTTCTAATTTGTTCATTATAATAATAATCAAGACCTGCTAACAGTTAACTTTTAGAACTGCATTTTAACTATAAAATTATCTAACTTTATCATCTTATTCCTAAGAACAAGAAAGTTCAAGCCAAAATATCCATGAATATGGATAACTCCTTTAAAACGATAGTACCACTAGAAAACATGGTCTACATTCAGCCATTAAGATAGACATTTTCAGGATACAACCCTACCCAAAACCACCCAACTTGTCCAATGTAAACTGAGAAAAGTGATTCCACTGGGCAGTTGGCATATATCAAGACACTGAATCCACTTGGTTTCTTTGTCTATCTGCCTTTCTCCCTTTCCTTGGCTTTCTATCTTTCCTACGTCCCCTGCATTTTGTGTAGGAGATCTGAATGGTATTCCTTGGCAGGCATTTCCATGTGATCCTAGTAGTAAAGAAATTCTAATAGTAGGAAAGAAAAGGTAAAAATAACTAGAGAATAAAAGAGATGAACAAACAGATTTAAGTATTTATGCGTGAAATCATAAAAATGCTGCAGGTTTCTCAAAAGTTAAAAGAGAAGTTGATATTTGCAATTCACTGAATGATAATGTAAATGTTGGGCTAGGTGCAGTGGCTCACGCCTGTAATCCCAGCACTTTGGGAGGCCGAGCTGGGTTGGGATCATTCAAGGCCAGGAGTTTTAAAAACCCTGGACAACATGACGAAATCCAGTCTCTACTAAAATACAAAAATTAGCCGGGTGTGATGGCCGCACACCTGTAATTCCCAGTACTCAGGAGGCTTGAGGCGCAAGAATCACTTAGAACCCCAGAGGCGGAGCTGCAGGCGAGCTAGGATAGCACCACTGTACTCCAGCCTGGGCACAGAGGGACACTCCATCTCAAAAAAAAAAAAAAAGGAGGAAAGAAAGAAAGAAAGAAATAGCGATAAGTTCAATTCACTTCACTGAGAATAAAATCCTTAGTGCAGACACAAACTCCCGTGTCTTACAATCTTTCTGAGAATTCTACCATCTACTTGTTTTCAGTTATCTA